GTGTGTGTGTGTGTGTGTGTGTGTGTGTGTGTGCGTGCGTGCGTGTGTGTGTGTGTGGAGGTTAGTAGTTAAAAGTCTAGACTGCTAAAAAGGTTCAAACCTCCCAGACTATCATCATTGTGTCCTTGTGTAAGAGACTCAGCAGGACTGTCCCTGTTATTTAAAGCAGCTATAATTTCCTAAAACTCACACTCTTGTACATTTTATAGCTGAATGTGCTTATTCAGCTGGGACAGAAGGATATATATTCATCACGGATGCATTAAATTGATCAGAAGTGACCGTAAAGACATTGATACAGGGTTCGTACGGTCATGAAAATACTGGAAAAGTCATGGAATTTTAAAATGCCAATTTCAAAGCCTGGAAAAGTTTAGGAAAAATTAATAAACCCAGAAAGTTTTGAAAAAGTCATGGAAATTAATTTCACAAAGCTCTGTGCAATAGAATATATTTTTAATCAGGTCGGAGTGGGATCGGGCATATATCGCCTAGTTTTACTCAGTTATTTAATATAGCATGTAGGTTAGATGTAAATAAATCCACACAGAATATCAGATCGAATCAGTCGTATGAAAACAGCAGTGATTCAGGTATCTCATCCTCTCAAAACAGCTTCACATCAGCACATCTCACCTGCACTACGAGAGAGCTGCTGCATGCTGCGATACGAGATTTCCGCTCACGTTTCGGGACAGTTGACAGAATTGTCACTTGCCTAATCGGGTCACTGTTGCATCTTCACAAAACTGTATCATTTGCACATCTTTTTAAATCACAGTCACTTCCAAAGCGCACGCACATAAAGCAAAACACCTCGCGAGCACCAAATTGAGTTATTTTTCCGCAGCTTATTGCGCTTAAGCGGCCAAATACACACAAAAAGATGTCAAAATGCCCGTCCTGGCGAGTATCCTCATAAACACAGTCAGTTTTGTCTTAAGTGAATTGTAAGCAGTTGTTGAGAAAGCAAACCATTGTGTATCAGTACACTGGATCTGTCTTAAAGAGACAGCAGCCTAATAAAGCTGTGGCGTCTGTCATTAATGTTAATCAAACAACAAAAGACAAAGAGAAAATCCATCACTACTCATCACTAACTTTAATTTTAAGGATTAATCTGTTTTTAATTTACAGTTTGTTCTATTTCTGTACCTAAATACTACTGTTAGACATAAACGGTTTCCTAAATGAAATTCAGGTCCTGAGTCTAGTTGGTAATATTGGTTAAATCGATTATAATACTCATTGATGTGATGATATGTTCTCTTGTGTATCAGTACACTGGATCTGTCTTAAAGAGACAGCAGCCTAATAAAGCTGTGGCGTCTGTCATTAATGTTAATCAAACAACAAAAGACCATCACTACTCATCACTAACTTTAATTTTAAGGATTAATCTGTTTTTAATTTACAGTTTGTTCTATTTCTGTACCTGAATACTACTGTTAGACATAAACGGTTTCCTAAATGAAATTCAGGTCCTTAGTCTAGTTGGTAATATTGGTTAAATCGATTATAATACTCATTGATGTGATGATATGTTCTCTGCGTGGAGTAACGTCTGGCGCAGTCGCAGCTTGTAATTATTAGTAAAACAAATAGAAAGCAAATAAGTAGCATTAGTAGTCATTCATTTTAGTTAACATATGCTATGATAAATGTGAACATTTGAACAGTTTTATTCTTATATTATACATAGTCATGGACAATTCATGGAAATGTATTGGTAAAAATGTGTACCCTATTTATAGTGTTAAAAAAGATTTCTATTTCAAATAAATGCTGTTGTTTTAAACGTTCTGTTCATCTGTGATGAAAAATAAAATGCATCACAGTTTCCACAAAAATATTGTGCAGCACAACTGTTTTCAACATTGATAATAATCAGAAATGTTTCTTGAGCAGCAAATCAGCATATTAGAATGATTTCTGAAGATCATGTGACACTGAAGACTGGAGTAATGATGCTGAAAATACAGCTGCGCATCACAGAAATAAATTTAATTCTAAAATATATTCACATAGAAAACAGCTATTTTAACCTGTAATCATATTTCACAATATTACTGTATTTTTGGTCAAGTAAATGTAGCCTAAAACAATGTAGCAGTAAAAAAAAAAAAAATCATACAGACCCCAAACTTAGTAAAATGTAGCGTGTGTATAAAATATTTGGGGTGGGGCCAAAATTACAATATTAGTAGAGAAAAAAGAAGTTTGATCTTTACTGTTGAGATGATGCTGACAAACACACTAGCAATGACAGCAAAACTGTTTCAATCTGTTTGCACTACACAGTACCAAAATGATACAGATACCGTTTCATGTTGAATCTTGCTATGAAATGATCCTTTGATCAATTTCTAAAAGTGAAATATTTTCAGGGATTGATCATGAGCGTCTTCTCTGCAGCGGTAAGTGTTTTTCTGAGCACATCAGCAGTAAAGAGCAGCGTGATCAATAAATGATCAGAGAGGGCAGTATTAGCACAAGCAGTAAATAAGTGACATGGAGAGCTGCCGTCCTCTCTGACACGTCTGAACCCTGCACGAGGGCTGATATATAATGAGCTCTTATTACATGCCAAGCACTGCACTTAGCATGAAGCGTTTAGGGGTCGAGTGACGGCACAATCAGCAGACGTGCACGTGCTTACAATTCAGCACTCCAAATGTCAGCAATGCACATATTATTTTAAGTGATTAATATTTTGTCATCCAGCGAAGCGTCTCTCCAGGTTAGCGATGTGTGTCTGAGAGTGAGTGTGTGTGTGTGTGTGAGAGAGAGTGTGTATGTGTGTGTGTGTGTGTATTGTCTGTCTCATCTGCTGGCTGCGATTAGAGCTGAGCTCTGATAATGTAACAGGTATTCCCAATTAACAGCTAGTCCACGGAAGCGCAGGGATTAATGCCACTCGCAACATGGATTATATTCCCTCTGAACGCTGCTAATAAAGCTTCCGGCTGATCACGGATGACATCTTATTAAGATGATGCTGGAAGAGAGGGAGATGAAGGAGCTTTGTTGGACATCAATTGTGTTGCTGTGTTTCCTGCAGTAAAAGAGCAATTATTTTGAGGGCAGCCCATCAGAAACTCTAGTCATGTGTTCCTGTATGATGTGAAACTGCGGGAGGATGTGTTGACACAGTAGCTTTGAAATACACGAGATCTGCATCTTCTTCTCTTCATCTCATTTGTTCCTCTCTGTGTGTTTGTAACCACAGATCTGCCAAATGAACACTCAGTCTAATGAAACTAGAGAGAGAGCCAATGAAACACTGACAGTGAGGAACAGTTTTACTTTCAGAGCCAGATGGGGGAAGATGTTGCGATTGGTTTGGTTCATGGATCGCAACTCTTTATTGGAAAATTGTCTGGAATCAGATCATAAAAAGAAGTGATGCCACTAAACTTGTAGGTGCTCACTGTTTCAGTCTGTTTCCTTCCTGTGACAAACTTTGTATTACTACAGATTAAGTAAATAGTCACTCAGCCTTTAGTTTTCGATCTTACACATGATTTCAGCTGTTGATCAGGGACACAGTGGTGATAATTAAGGCTCATCCGTTGCAGGCCTCAAACCTTCAACCTTCAATTAGTTTTAATGTAACACTTTAGTGACCAATTCTCACTATTAACTAGTTGCTGTGAGCTGTAGCCAGCAGCCTGCTGAACTCTGGGTACTGCTGTGTGTGTACTATATAACTGAATGATATCTGTATGTATTCTTCCTGCATTAATGTGCCTGTTGTGGGAGTGTTCAGCTCTTTTGCGTGCACATTTGGGTGGCATTATGCTAATATTTCCACATAGTGATGTAGATATGTGGGGGCGTGTTAGAACGAGCCGTTTTAGGTAGGTGTAGCTGACTCTTAACTTTTATAAAGAATATCTCTTTGGATTTGAGACTTTAGTCTTTGCAACTTTACAGATCTTCTTTATGCACCAAGAGCTTGTAACACTCCAAAGAGAAAGGAAAACTTGAAATCGCATCATATGACCCCTTTAACTCTTTAGTATTGCGGTATTTGAGAGCTATAATGTCATGTGTTGCTGTCTTTTCCTTCGAATGCAGATAAATCGCCTCACTTCCTGCGTTTGGGGGATGTGGAGGTGAATGCCGGACAAAACGCCACGTTCCAGTGCATCGCCACTGTCCGTGATGCCGTCAACAACAAACTCTGGCTGCAGGTGGGACACACACACACACACACACACACACACACACACACCTGTACTAAACCAGCACGCGTCCAGCATCTGCCGCATTTCCCTTGACTGTAAAATATGACATTATTGCCTTTAAAATTCACACTTCAGTCCATCTTTACATCAACACCAAATGATACTGGGATTGTTTTGTCCTCCCTTTTAAAAGTAGGTTAGTCTGTTTGTTTTGCTATCATAACTACCCTTGTGAAAAAGAAGTACACTTTAACATACTTTAAAAGGAGTACTTACTATGGAAATAATTTACTTTAAAAGAATATACTTAAAGGGATAGTTCACCAAAAAATGATCATTCTGTCATCATTTATTCACCCTCCACTTGTGCCAAATCTGTTGAACACAAAAGAAGAGATTTTGAAGAACGCTGGTAACCAAACAGTTTCTGGTCCCCATTGACTTCCATTGTTTTTTGTTTTTTTTCTGTGGAAGTCAATGGCTTCTAGCAACTGTTTGGTTACTAACATTCTTCAAAATATCTTCTTTTGTGTCCCTTTAATTGCAGACTGAATGCAGTGTTGTTTAAATTAAAATATTATAGAGTTCAATTGGTTGAATTTTAGAGTGTTTTTTGACCCACTTAAGGACTTCAGTACATCTTTATATGTAATTTCATAATTATTTTGTCTTTAACATGGTTAAAGTGTTAGAGCTGACAAACGTTTATGATAAACCAAAATATACTTTAATGTAATTTATATTGAAACTTGTATGTCATGTATTTAAATATATTTGTAATTTGTAATGATGAAGTTGCAATTTAGTATACATTTAAAATACACTCCCCAATTAATAATATTAAATGTAATTTCTAATGTAATATCTATTAAATGTAGTATCAAATAACACAGTCCAGGTTTTTAAAAAAATACTTGAAGTACACTACAAGTGCACAAGTAATACAATTAAGCACACTTCTTTTTCACAAGGGTTTGATTAAGTATCGTTTCGCCCTGCTGTCTGTGACCCGTCAAAACAAAAGCTGTGACTGGTTTTGGTTTGTGATCTGTTGAGGAGCGTTGAGCTGAAGCTCAGATAGAGTTTTTAACACGAGCCGGTCTTTAGATCAGACCAAAGCTCTCAGCGAGACGAGCTTCACCCTAATTGGCCGGGAATGTCAAGTGCAGGATGTGCGGGAGCAAACAATTCTGCTGTTTTTAAGTTTGGTTTCACAATAGTCAAAGAATTGCATCATTGCTGGAAACTATATCCCATATTCATGGTCAACGGGTGTATATATAACCACAATTACTAATCAAGCAGCTGGAGAGACGCTGGCTTCATTAAAACTGAGCCTGTCACAGAGACAGCGTTTCCTCTCGCGCCCCTCAAACTTACCCACTTTATTCATCCCGAAGAAACATCCTGCTCTCTTAATGATGTCAGTGTCAGCGGGTTTGGTTTGCATGTGGTGCTCGCGCTGAGGTGGAGCCCTGCCGCTGACCTTTGATTTTGATTAACTGATGAGAGGCCTTCACTTTCTGAGAAGACGAATGATCAGCGAGAGACTGAATGAGAGGAAGTGCCTGACGGGGTGGGAAAGTGTGTAGCAGAAGTGACTTCATTAAAAAATGAAGAAAGCAAGCGAGTGCTGGTGTCTTCTGACTAATAGGAGACGGCAGTGTTGAAGAGGCTGATGAGTGATGGTTGGGAGCGCACGCTCTCACTCTTCACTCACACTGATGACCTGTGACACTGACCGCCGTCCTTCACGGCTTCTCTCAGGCATAGCACTGGAGCTTCACCGCTCATGAGCATAACAGCCCTAATCCTTCACAGCATGTGAACCCATCTCTGCATCTATTTAATAGATCCACGTACGGTTTCCAGGTGAAAGGCTTTTACTGTATACCACAACTAAGTAAGCAATAAGTAGAGTATCATACATCACTGTAGTTCAGCTATGGCTTACAATGGCTACAAATCCTGAGGAAACACCACAGACTGATCACAGATCATTTCTGTTTATTTAGTTTTATTTTTGTACTGTCGATTGTTTCCTCATCCATGTTTTATACCTGAACAACACTGATCTGTAAAGTAACTACCAGTAAATATCTAGTCGGCGGATTTAATTTCCTCTGAAAATGACAAAACTCTTCAAGCACGAAACTTGGATAATTGTGACTGTTGACTGTTGAGTTATGACATCTGAAGCAGTTTTACTGAGGGCAGATGACTGGATTGTTCAGTTAGACCTGCAGATATTTGATTTTTCGTCTCTGGTGTTGTCACATACAGCAGCGTAACGGAGAGGACATTCCAGTGGCGGAGAAGAAAAACATCAACCACAGGAAGTTTGCGGCCTCTTTCCGGCTGAGAGAAGTGAGCAGCCAGGACCAAGATCTGTACCGCTGCGTCACCCAATCAGAGAGAGGATCTGGAGTCTCCAACTTTGCTGGGCTCATCGTCAGAGGTAAAGCCTTGTTTTGTTACTTATGCCATCATTGTACTTTTCTGTATATTAAAATGCATAGTTCAGACTCTGAGCTCTGACAGGGGGAGCCATTATATGCCAAACATCTTCCCAAGTTTGTTGTAGCGTCTGGACCAATCAAACACACAATTTTTCATTTGATTTAACAAATCAGTTATTCATTAGATTAACAAATCGTCACAGTCCCCTCACCCAATAAACTGGATGCCAGGATGTCTGCAACGACACCAGGCCCCCCCTGGTAACCATGGCAACCACGACACCTCTGCTAGACCAGATCCATTTACGACCTAATGGCATGTTGAGAAACACCTTTCTCACTACAATTTCCATAGGAAATCCACAGTGCACAGTAAAAATTGACTCTTTTCTAATTAATTCATAGGAAAACCTTTCATTTCTCAGAGGGCGGGAAGTATAACTCGTTTGAAGTAATGGTGCTTCATATAACATTATCCAGAGAAACAAGTGTTAATGACATTGTGATGTTTGTACTGGCTACTGTATACAGGCCACCAGGGCACCATACAGACTTTATTAAAGAATGTGCTGATTTTATATCCGAGTTAGTGCTGGCTGCAGATAAAGTTTTAATTGTCGGTGATTTTAATATTCATGTTGATAATGAAAAAGATTCATTGGGATCAGCATTCATAGACATTCTGAACTCTATTGGGGTTAGACAACACGAGTCAGGACCTACTCATTGTCGAAATCATACTCTAGATTTAATACTGTCACATGGAATTGATGTTGATGGTGAAGCGTCTGGACCAATCAAACACACAATATATATTTTGTTAGCTATATTTAACAAATACTCTGTAACACCCCTCAGTTAACAAGCCATATGAGGACCTATGGACCCTTCCCCCGAAATGCGTAACACCTCAGGAGGGCAGAACAGGCCTCTGGTTCCATGGCAACCAACGCTGATATCACTGGGTTTATTGCCTAGAGGAATGCGAAGCAGGGAAAATCACTGCATGTTCCATAGCAAGAGGCACAATGCACAGTAGAAATGGACTTTTCTACTAATTAATTCATAGGAAAACCTTTCTTTGAATGAACACACATATCCTTCAGGTCATGGTGTATGTTGTCTTTGATATTTTTAGACTATTCTATGCATGCTTATGATGGAACCCATTCCTGTTATCTTGCCTATATGTAATCCTACCATGTTTAGTATCTATGAATTCGCCTTCTGATGATCTAAACGAGCGTGTATATTATATGTTGGTACATAGGCAATATATTAGTGTCCTGAGAATCTTTAGTAATTTCGATTCAAGTTCCATTTGCAAATTACCATGCCCTCACACAAAGGGTCATAAAAACTCCCCAGTATCTCAAAACTCCCACTTGGGATTCCGGCCTTTCTCATTGGACAAGCCCATCTTGAGAGGCGTGGATCTTCTCCGACCTTAAAGGCCTCACACCATGTGACCCGCCCAGAGTCGGTGGTTCTGTTAGGTTTTGAGAAGATGTGAGCTACAACGCTCCAGGACATCCTAAGTTTTGTGCCAGGCCTTCGGCCTTGATTTTCCATTCACCAAGATTCTCTGACTCAAACTGGTTCTTTTTCATCAACCAACTTCAGCAAAGATCAACTTGAACCTTCAGATTGCATCAAGCCTCTCTTTCAGACAGACGAGACGTGCAAGTATTCAAACTTAGTCTTATTAATTGATACATTAGGTATCATTTGCACCTTTTTACAAAGGTGTGTTTGAACTAAGAATCTGACGTTTCCCTCAGGTGTAGATCTGCTGAATATGCAAATGGTTCCATAACTTCATTTTCTTATTCTCCCTTCTCTCTACTGCGTTAAGCTTTAACCCTTTCCTATACCAACTGTATGTGTGTGTGTGTGTGTGTTTATGTGTATGTTAGACCAGTTTAATTGTTTATGTAGTATGTTAGACTAGTTTAAGTGTTTATGTAGTTAATAAAGCGTTACTTGTATCACACTTGACGTTGTTCATTGTTTACTCATAACTGGCGTCCCTAATCATGCAGATTTATGCTGCAGGCTCTGTGTAGAGTTGTACAGTAAGAAAGTTATTTCCCTTAACCAGGAAATTAACGTTCTTAGAATTGACAGACAGTTGACCCTGAGAGGTCAAGTAAATATCTACAGCGGATCTAAATATTTGTAATTAATTATAACTAGTTATGATTAATTATTCATATTTCCCCATGAGCTGATTCGCTACATTGTAATGAGAATGGTTTATAAATTAGTTGTCTACAAAAGAAAAGTTTCCCTGTGGTTTTCTGAGAAAATAAATAAATATTAGTATTGTGATTGTACTGTTTTTATTTAAAATAGTAATAATAGTAAATATTGTTATCTAAGATAAAATTATTATGAAATGCTTTACAGTTGAGTAGTATTATAATGATATTTCTTGATTTTTTATCATTTTTAATTAGATGTGTTTTCCCAATATGTTCTGCCTGTTTTTTTTGTTTCTTTTTGACACAATGCACATACACCTGTGACAGTTTTATCCCATCTAATTATATTGTTATCATATAAGTGCCAATTATTAATTGAGCAGTTTCTGAATATTCAACTGTGTTATGAAAGGCTAGAGAAGGCGTGTTTATGATCATATATAATGAATAAAGGCTGTGTCTGTATAAACTAGTTTAAGGCCTCATCACCCAAAGCTCTGTGATCTTCTGCTCAAGTCAACGAGATGCAGGCTACAGCGATCATCTGCTTATTTAAACGCCGCTAAATAATACTAACGTATTCATATTTGAATTACCATTGGGCGCATGATGCCATATTAATATGCACAACCTGTTTATGCAAACAAATCTCATTGGGTGCTTTTATGGTGACTTCGCCCGAACCCTTCTGTACGCGAGAGCGCTGCCGTTTTGGGTCCGGAGAGTGGCGCGTGAGGTTCCCGTGCACAGATGCGACTTTGAGAGGAGTGCAATAGTTAGCGGCGGCCGCAGGGCAGAAGGGCCAGCTGAGTAGCAGCCACACTGACAGCTCAGATATCTCCACCACACTTCCCCAGCTGACATCCTGCTACAAGGATACCAAAGATGGTAATTTCAGCGGAAATTTTTGGGCCATGGATTTGTGCGTGCGCTAATGGGAGCTGGCACGGAGTTGCCTATTGTCGCGCGTGACCCCGGGCGAGTGCTTTATTAGCTCCCACTCTCCCTAATGCGGGACGACAGCGGGCCCTCCCGGCTGTTTGGGGCCGCTTTGTAACAAATGAAAATTTCAGTGGCGAATTCCTATGCTGGAGAAGCATCGACCTGCGTGTCCCCCAGCTGCAGGAAGAAAGATGGAAGAGGAAAAAAAGCAAAAAGTAAAAAAACACAACAGAACAGAGTTGTGGCCTCGGCGCGTTTAGCCCAGGGTTTCCAGTAACGACATTAGCCCTCTCGTGCTTGTAGAGAATAAACCGAATTGACAAGACGTGTGCTGTGAAACAGATTCGAACGCAAGCAGTCAATAAACACTGCCCTGTTTTTATTGGACAGACCACCACAAACTCGCTCTTCAAGTAAAGCCTCCAGTTGGAACTGACGTCACTCAGAAAACCATCTACTTTATAGTCCCCAAAAATGAATAGACCAGGGTTTCTCAAATGGGGGTTTGTGAGTTGATGAAAAGATAATTAATTAAATTGAATGTAATATTTTACAGCAAATCGGGCTGCACAATTAATCAAAATAAAACTGAAATAGAGTACTTGTCCAAAGTTTGGAAACATTACGATTTTAAATGTTTTAAGTCTTTTAATGCTCACAAAGGCTGCATTTATTTGGTCAAAAATACAGTAAAAAGACTAATATTGTGAAATATTATTACAATTTAATGTATCTGTTTTCTATGTGAATATCTGTTCAACTGTAATTTATTGCTGTGATGCGCAGCTGTATTTTCAGCATCATTACTCCAGTCTTCAGTGTCACATGATCTTCAGAAATCATTCTAATATGCTGATTTGCTGCTCAAGAAACATTTCTGATTATCATCAATGTTGAAAACAGTTGTGCTGCTCAATAGTTTTGTGGAAACCATGATATACTACCATTCAAATGTTTGGTGTGAGTGTGAGTGTGAGTGTGTGTGTGTGTGTGTGTGTGTGAGTGTGAGTGTGTGTGTGTGTGTGTGTGTGTGTGCTGTGAACTTGTTTTTACTACTTTGTGAGGACCAAAAGACCGCACAAAGAAAGCAAAATAAGGAAAGTTTGGCTTTGTTTGACCCCAAAGACATGATCTTTTATATAAGACTAAAATGTCTAAATATAGACATAAAATGTCTAAATATACTATTGTCCAAACCTAAACCTACCAACTAAAGGACCGCACAAAGTTGTATAAACAAGGATAAAATTAATACTTTTATTCAACATATATGCATTAAATTGATCAAAAGTGACAGTATAGACATTCATAATGTTACACATTTCTATTTCAAATAAATGCCGTTATTTTTAACTTTCTATTTGTCAAAGTATCCTGAAAAATATTTCCACAAAATATTAAGCAGCAAAAATATCAGAATGTAATAATATTTCACAATAGTAACATTTTTACTCTATTTTTGATCAGTAAATGAATGCAGCCTTGGTGAGCAGAAGAGACTTTTTAAAAACATAATGTTTCCAAACTTTTGACAAGTACTGTATATGTTAAATCAAATTGCAAGTATCAAATCAATTTGAAATAATAAAATGCAGTCTGTTTGCTGCATTGCAAGTTTCAGAGTGAAGAGTGGCACTGTGTTCATTTACACGCGTGCAGCTTATAAAAGTGTGTTTTCAGAGCGGCTTGTTCACAGTAAATGCTTCCAGCATTTTTGCGGGCAGAAGCTTACAGCATTTCACTGATATTCTGCCAGGACAGAAGTTTGAGGATTTGAAATGTGTAAAGCTTTGAGGGTTTGAATGCTTGAAAGTGAATCATTTAAGACATTTGCATTGTAACATGTGTTCACT